AGCGAGCAGCAGCTGGAACTTTTTCATAATGAGCGCAGGGTAAATAAAAATGTGCATGCGTGCTGTAAAGTATAATTGAAATTTATGCACTTTCAGACACGGGTCGCTGCAAACATATGCAGTCGAATATTATCGTTAGCGTTATCCTTTTTGTTGTTGTTATTGTTCGCCATTCCTTCGGGGCTAATGATGTGAACTGTTTGTTTTACGCCGCCTGCAATCACTGAAGTCAAACACATATACATATACACCTAGCATGCAGGCATACCTCTGTCTCTCTGTCTCTCGGTGTCTCTGCCTCTATTTCTCATTTCTGTCACAGACAAAGTCAACATTATTAAAATGCATCAACAAATTTATTTATTTTCTTGTTGTTGTTTCTGTTATGCATTGATATGCGTTGGCCATAACACCTTTTGCCACTCACATTTACCCATAAATAAATACCAACTCGAATCCATTTTATATTTTTCTATATTTTTCACAGAAATTCTCATCAAAATATCAAGTTACGTACAATATAGTTGTCATACGTTGAAAATGCCTTCAGTTTATACTTATACAAGAGTAAAATAACATTCCTAATTTTGTTGTCGGTTTTTCTTTATATGGTTCGTTTTTGTTTTTTTTTTTATTTTCGTTTTTCTTTTCTTTTCGTTTAGACTTCTGCTGCTGCTGTTGTTGTCATTATCATTGTATAATAAACTAATACTTAATGTAAGAATCCGATTTTTTTCTATGGGCCTTTTACTAATCAATTTTCCATGACTTTATATTTTTATGCATTTCGCCTTAATTGTATACTCAATATTATTTTCTAAATATTTCTTATATTTCCCATATAAAATTAATATAAAGAGATTGACAAAAGCCGCAACAAACAAGCAATTTAATAATAATCATAATGATCAATAATAATTGGTATATTTTTCATAGAATATACAATATGACGGCAAAAATATGCTAATTGAATTAAATTCTATAAAAATTGCATTTAAATTATTTTAACATTTAGTTATTCACGCCGATGTTAGTTATACATTAAATAAATTAAAGCGACTACGTACGTTACCCAATCTGTTTGAAGTAACCTTTTTGAAATCAACTCACATAGCATAAGCACTGATGGCAAAAAGAGAGAGAGAGAGCGATTTGCATTCAGAATAAGCGTCAAAATACGCAAACATCAAATGCACATCAATAATAATAATAATGATAATAAACACTGACAATTAGATTTTTGCTATTTGCTATTTAGCTAAGGATTCGACTTTTAACGATTTTTTTCTTGGTTTTTTATTTTATATTTTCTTTTCTTTGCACAAGCGTTCTCATAGTTATATGTTTCATCTTTATTTTTTCTTTAATTTGTTGCCTTGTAGCCATGTTGCTGATGCCATTTTATTTATTTACATACATATTTATTTTCAAATGTATTTTTAGTTTACCTGTGCTGAAACTTGCGAGTTTTGATATCAATTACGTGTCTTAAGTGTACAATTTAATTTAATTTAATTCATGTTTGTGTGTGTGTATGCAGAGGCTAACTTACATTTCACAAAAAAGCTAAATTAAGATTTTTATAAAAATCTATATAAATCACCATTTGCTGCTGACCCAAAAACTCTCATTGGCTGACCTTTTCGATATTATATCCAGCCTATCCTGTATCTATTAACTTAAACGTTTTTGATACAAAATGCTTTGTCTTATACATATAAAGATGCTTCGCATGCCCCGTTTAATTAATCAGTTTTCAATTCTTACATTCTAATACATACACAACTTTTAAATATGTTCTTTTGTTCATACACTGTTTTGTTTTACATACATACATTATTTATTGTATTTTTGTTTGTTTGTTTTAATAGTTAATCTTTTGATTTTTAATTGGAGTTCATTTAACATTAAACTATTTCATTTCACTAAACTATACACAGAATGTTTAAGTTGATGCGCTTATATTGCTATGTAAAACGTTAATATTTTAACTATATATCAATATATATATCATATATGTATATCTATATACATATATATATATATATATATATATATATATATATATATATATGCATTTTAAATAAATATATATGCAGAGATTCTTGCCTAAATCATAGTCTAAAAATTTGCCAAGCATTTGCAAACAAAACTGTAAGAATAAGAAAAATTCATGTGTGTTATTTGTTTAATATTTACCGAATCGTTTTCCAATAGTATTGCTAAGCTGTAAATTTATAAAAAATGTTTACAGAATTATCATCTGCTCTTGTTTTTCATTTTAATTTTAATTTTAAATTTTCTGCTCTTTTCTTTTGTATATAAGAACTGTTTAACTGTTAAATTTAGACTATAATATGTGTATACATAATCAGTATGTGTGTCTGTGCTGATTTAAATATTTTGTTGTTAGTATTCTCTAGACTCACATTCAGCGTTTCTTAAAATTCGTACATTATTAACATTACGGTTAGCTTACGTATGGTGACTAGTAGACAATATATATACATACATATGTATATATATGGGTCAGTGGGACTGTTTTTGCAGTCAAAAATAAGTTTAACAAGCGCGAAGACTCAACCTGAACGTCAAATGGATCAATCTCAACCCGTTCAAATTTCCGCTTGCTGCTGTATTTCGCAATGACTTTAGCAATACGCTAGGGTGTATTTTTTGTGAATAAATGTTTACATATGGATTTGTATTTTGAAATATTTTTCCCTTTTACTTAACATTTTTAAATTTGGTTTACTTTTGTTGCAATTGTTGCATAAACGCGGAACACCTCGTTGACCAGTCTTTTATTGTGTTTTAATGCTTACAGAATTATATATATATATATATATATATATATATATATATATTATAATTATGTTTTGCTATCGTTTTTAAAATACATGTTTTGTTACGATTTGAATGTTGAATTGTAAAATACATACATAGTTTCTTAAATGTTATTCATATTTAGGCCCCCATATATTATAATCTAATTGGTTTTCTTTTTTTGGATTTTATTTGAATCGTTAAGGATTTTCTATACAAAATATTTGATTTGGGCTTGGTTTTTAATTTTTTCTCAAAAGTTACACTAAACTGATTGAATTTATTTTTGACACATCGTACACATTTTTGTTTTGTTTAAATATTTATAGTTGCGTTATCAACATCATAACCTTGTTTAGTGCATTTCCTTGGGTTTGTTCGCATGGAAGCCGAAAAAGGATACTGTTATCCAATATAATTGTACCTTTTTATTGATAATATAATCTTAAAGGGAACTTTCAGTTTGCAACTTCTTATTCATACGCGACACTGTATATATGTATGTATATATTTATATATATTGTTATAGCATTGAGATGACACATAGCACAAGCCACACACAAACCTTTCAAATGTGATCAATCTTCACTTCACAATCTTTGAGAATTATGTTCCGAATCAAGAAACAACTATAAAGGCTAAATGTATGAGTATGTATGTATACTTGATGATTGTGTATTTTTGTGTGCAAATGGATATATATGTGTGTGTATGTGTGTATATGTGTATGTGTGTTGCGTTGCTTGCCATAGCTACTTCTTGTTGTCTGATCACAGAATACCGCATCACACAAATGATAATGCTCGAGCATGTTGTATACCTTTACCTTGAGGAGGTGCATTCTTGTCGTGCATTTAAGAGGAGAAATCAAATACGGATAATTAAATAAGAAACATAAATCAAAATATATAAAATGAAGTTGTTGTTTTGTAATATTTATTTTTGTTAAAAATATTTAAAAATAATCAAATATTAAACATAATGAAATGGTTCATTTAAAATAAAGGCAGCACATAACTAAGAAAATATTAGCACACATTATGGAAAATAAATATTTTCGACACGCTTTTGCAAAGACGTATTTGGTGCAATTCCAGGAGATTTTGTTATTTTTCTTTAGTGAATACTAAAACCTTGTTGAATGTGACCTACTGAAATTTTGAAAAAAATATAAATTTTTCATATACAAACAAAAACTAGTTTTAAAATTATTTATATGATTATTTTAAATTAATGAGGCACATTAAGAAGAATTTGTAAAAGTTGGTCCAAAATATAATGTTTATGTAGAATCGAAAAAAAATGACAATATCGTTTAGATTTCTTCAAATAAAAAACTCATCATAATACTTTTCATCACAAAAACAGAAATGTGCGTTATAAATACAATTACATTAACAGGACTTATTTTGAAAATATCAATTTGTAGCGCCAGAAATGGTATTTACTAAGCATTTCGATTTGCTCGATTTGCTTGACATACATACTACATATTATCAACCTTTACAACAATTATTTTACAAATTTAAAATATATTTAAATTAAAGTAAGAAAATATAAGCTTTTTATTTATTGTTTAAAACATATTTTGCACTTGTGTTTGTTGTATTTTGTTGTTGTACCTAAGCCAGTACGATGCATTTCCTTAATTAAATTTAAATCTTTGTATATGTATTGTATATTAACATTTTGTCGTAATTTGATTTACTTTTTTCTTTTTATATTCATTTAAATTTAATTTTGTTTTGTTTTGTTTTGGCAGTGTTTACAATATTTGTTGTCGCTAAAAACAAAACAAAAAAATATATATTGTTCATAAAGGATACATATTTTTCTTATTTTTTTTTCTTTATAGTATATATTTTTAATGTGGTTACTAAGTTCATTCATAACTGCATTTTTGTTCAGTATATTTCTTTATATTTTACTAAAAAAAATTATTTCGCTTTGGTAAATATTTGATGTCAACAATTTAAATGCAAATGGAAGTAAACATTTTTTATGCTTAAACATTAAAATGAAATCAAACAAATAACAAAAAACTGATCAAGCGAAACGATAATGAAAGGGGATAAAGTTATAAACAAAACAATAAGAGCAACGAAACTGAATTTGTATCGGATTTTAACTCCTCAAATTGTCGTATTTTATTGTTGCTGTTGTTCTTGTTTTTCTTTTTTTTTTTTTTTTTTTTTTTTTAATTATTGCTTGTGCTTGTGTGATGTGTGATTTTCATTAATTAGCGCTTCAACACTATCATTCATCGCTTTCTGCTTGTGATGGCACACAGTTGCTGTAATGCTCACTTTCTACTTAGATCTCTCTTTACATATGGCGCTTCATGTGGAGGGCCAGGTGATCGGAGCGCGAAAAGCAACGATCACAATTGCGACATTTAAAAGGTTTGGCTCCAGTGTGCTTCCGATAATGTCGAGTTAGCTCATCGCTTCTAGCGAAACGCCATTCGCAGCCATCCCAGGAGCACTTGTACGGCTTCTCACCTACAATGGCAGAAGTTTTTAAGAAGATTTAATGAAATTACATAAAAATAGCCAGTTCCTACTTATTAAATAAGTTATTCTCTGGGATGGTATCAAGAGTTGAATGCAGTATAAGTTCTTGCAATTCGCTCTGTGGCAGCCAGCGAAAAGAAAAATTAAATATATTGCAAATTCCAACGGAAGAAACGAAATAGCTGGTGGGAAAAAGGTTGCCATGATTTTTTCCCACTTTACGACAGCGAAATGAAAAAAGTTTTTTTTTCCAACGTTCAGCTGGGTGAGAGCCTCTGAGTGAGGTGCATAGTACCAGAAATGTTTAAAATTATAATTTTAACTTTTTAAATCGTAGTCAAATAGTTCTCATGACGATTGCACCCTCAAGCATACTTGTATTATTTGTGAAAGCATTGAAAATACTATTTTTTAATTTTTCCAAGCCAGCGTGCTCGCAGTAAAGTATGCAGTGGGTGCAACCTAACAATGAGTAAATGCAAACGAGTTTGTAAATGGTGGAATTGAAGACAATTAAAAATAAAATTAAAAAAAAAAAAAAAAAAAGAGAATAAAATTGGAAAAAAAAATAATGAAAAGTCGGCCATCGAAATTTACGTTAAGATCGAAGTCAGTGAAACAGTTTGCCAAATCGCGAATCCCTTTGCCAACAGTTTTCATGCGTGCCAAAAGCCTCAAAGGATGCGGCAAAAACAGTAGCCAATGCGCCGAAAGCCAGTTACAGTGCCAGTAACAGAGCTCAAAAGCGTCAGCCAGTCAGCTAGCCAGCCAGCTAGCCTGCCTGCCTGCCTGCCTGCCTGCCTGCCTTCCAGTCTTCCAGCCTGGCAGGCAGGCAGAAAGGAAAAGGAAATGCAGAAGTTGTAATTTCACACAAAAGTATAAAACCTAAAAATGCACAAAGAGTGGAACACAGAGCACAGTACACAGTTGTGCCAGAAAAAATGGCAAAATTATTTGAGTTTAAAAGACAAACAGCAGCCAAGGCAGGAAATTGCCGGCGTTGCCTTCGCCGTTGCCGCTGTCGAGAAAAGCGGTGGAAAATGGAGCCAGATAACCGGCAAAGTAGACGACAGCCAAGAAAAATACATAAAGCTGAGTGGAAAACTTTGTAACGCACACCACAACAGCTTATATATATGTATATGCATACACACACATATTTATATATACATAGTGTATATGTATATAGTATACACAGCTTAAAACTTAATGCATGCGGAAATGTGTGATATTTCCGTGCTCAATTTCACATTATGCACTTGCGGCCAACTTGCCTGCCTGACGGAACAAACGACTCGCCAACGAGCGACCGAGCCACTGAGCCACTGAGCCACCGAGCAAGTAACAACGCTCTCTTAATTTCCATTTGTTTACTCTCTGGCCATTGCTGAAGCCCTGTCCGGCCAGCGATGCGTCGCGGCGTTGCAACATGGGACATTTCACTCCCCGTTTGTGGGTGTGCTGCCACTTGCACTTTGGCATGTTGTCAGAACTGTGAGCGAGACATCGAAGCAAGGGCTATAAATAAATAGGGTGCCCGAAAAACACTTACACCCACAAGGAGTGTGTTCATGTGGGTGGCTGCGTGTATGGGTTCCTGGTAAAATGCTTTGCCATTGACTTTTGGCATTTTTTCGCCTCTTTGGGTCTTTCTTGCTCCAGCCTGCGTAAATCACAGTCAAGTGCACAAAGCACTGGGCGTACAGATACAGCTGCGACCCGAGAGTCTAAAATTAAAGTGCATTCGAACGACATCCAGTGCCAAAAATGTTCATGTTTCACAGTAACCGGGGATTAAAGCTCTGCGAATTGCCCCTGCGTATTTGTTGCTGCTGTTCAAATGCTCAATCAATTTTTAATAGTCAGCCAAGTTTGCTTAAATTGTGTACTGGCAGCCAATCTTATAAAGTCCTTAAAGCAGCTTTACACTCATTTACTGGACGTGTTAAAGCCGTATTATGTGTTTTTTGTTTCCTAAAGAGTTTCTCGTTCTTATTTCAATCGCTCTATTGTTAATTTATTGTAGCGGGCACAGTTAAAACTTAACCTCAGCTATTTGTTTCTATACATAAAGTTACTCCTTTCTTCCCATATTGTTAGCCGCAGTTGCAGTGCGCCTTTATAAAGTATTTGAGGAAGGGGTGCAGTCAGCTGCAGCAGCAAAAGCAGCACGAGCAGCGGCCGCTTAACGTATAGCCCCGAGCCAGTTAATATTTTATAAATTTTGCTGGCGTTGGGTTTTAATGTCAGCAGCCAATAGGAAAGAAAGAATGCCTTGGTGAGCGACATGCAATACGCGGCGAGAAAGAGGTTTCGGTATTCCTTTCACTTCACTCTGCCGACTTCAGACTGCAGGCTGCACAGAGCACAGTGCAGAGTGCAGGGTGCAGGCTGCACGCAATTCTTTAGCTTTTCTTTTATGCGCTATGCGCCTTCTCGGCTTTTGCACTCAACACAATTTTTATGGTCTGCTTGCGTCTATCCGCTTGATTGCACTAGTAATCTTTTCTTAACGGCAGGGCCCTACTCCCACCAGCTATTACCAAGCTCGGGTTAACCATAACCCTGTCTGTTTTTTTTTTTTTTTTTACAGCCAGAGCGCTTAACTAATTGAAATCTTTTGCGCACTGCGCACATTTATTGGAATCTTTTCTGCGTGGTGAGTTAATTGATTATCAATTGTCGAGTATTCGCACCATTTTGGTTGTTTTCCAATTAATTCCTTTTACGCTAACACCGGAGACAACAAGAAGGATAAACTAGCTGGCAGCGCAATCAAGACTCCCAAATTAAATTAATGTATGCCCGGCTGGCTTCTGACCTGACCTGAGCACATACCAAAAAAAAAACCGATTGGACATCTAAATAATAGTCGATCATCAATAACGTTGCGCTGTTTCTCCAAATTAAAGCAGAACTTCTCTTTCCCCAGTTTGAGCAAAGCGTAATTCATGAAAATGATTCTTTAATTTCGTTTTACGCATGTCCTCTAAGGTGACATTAAAATAATTACTTTTTTTGTGGGTCTCTTCAAACCAAAGGTAGAAAAAATTTACATTTTGTGAAAATGTCGGACAATCTAATGTTTTGATCTCTTATCGTCTGAAGACATCCTGGCTTTGATTTATTTTGTATGCTCTGTCCGTGTAGAGCATATATAACTAATTACACAGCTTAATCAGGTCCCTTTATACAATACGGTTAGTTTGGAGCAAGCATGGCTGCTGCAAGCATCTGAAAGCTTTAATCTGGAGCGCAAAACTTTTGCTTATAATTTGCCTGAAATGATGGAAACGAAAAACGAAAATAAACATCAACAAGGCCAACAATAACTACAACTTATATAAAAGAGCAAACATTCCGGAGGGGACTCAATTAAGTGCGCCCCTCCCTCTTAGCCGTTGCCCCGCCTCCCTAAACGGCTGTTGTTATTATGAAGTACAAACTTTTTACTTTTAAAGATAAACGGAAAACTAAGAGCCTATAAGCATTTTCACACTCTGCAAACTTGTTGATTGTAAAATCTTTTATTAAGCAGTTATTGTTTTGTTTAGTCGAGCATAGAGTTCAATATAACAGAAAAAAGAGAGAACGCATTCAATTTAAACGCGTGGCCAGACGAGAGTAGCCTATTATACTTGACTCACTAATCTAGCTATTCGATTGTATACGGCACGAAAATGCAATAACTGAAATGGGCCAATTCAATTAAATTGGCAGTATCAGTTGGTACTAACGGTACATGACATATGCAGAGTTAACGCACATATTTGTTTTTGCTCAATTTACAAAAATTTGGTTGTTATATTTTATGAGTTAAGCGCAAACTGCCGAAACTCTTGTAAAACGCATTATCATTCATACACACACGCTGATGGGAATACGCGTGTGTAGGTACACACAAATCAATGGATGAGTTTAATATGGTTTCCATCCTTTGCCTCTGAAATCGCTGATGCTGATGGTGGCAGCAATAAAATAACATTTCATCGCTGGGTTTAATCTGTGTGGAGATGCACGAGTATGTATGCGTGTAACCAATAATTCATTTTTGAATTATGCGATTTTTATTGAAATTTCAAGCCTCGTCTACTGTCATTCAAGGATGTTCCTGGCTCTGCACTTGACTTTGTACATATATGTATACATATTTCTGCGGCAACGTTCGCTCTGTTGGCTGTGTGGAAATATTGGGACAATGGCAGCAAAACAATGCAACGTGTCACTTGTGTCCTGCCCTGTGTCCACTGGGCTCTCCTGTTCAGGTCACAGACGCGATGCTCTCTGGGGTTGTTGTGTTGTTTTCGCAGCACTCTGATTTATTAATGGGGAGCAGCAACCCCAAACTGAGTTTACATATTTATGTTGCAGTTGTTGGTCGTTTTAGTCAGAAATGTGTTTTGGGCGTGGTATGAAGCCTGCAGTCGACTTAATCATACTATATTACTTCACTGATTATTATATTCAAATGTAAACTATATTCACGGCAGAAATGCTAAATTAAATTGGCTACGTGTGGCGCCTCACCTGTATGGGTTCTTTGGTGGGCCTTCAGATGTGAGCTTTTTGTGTAGACCTTTTTGCAGCCCAGAAATTGGCACTTGTGTATCCGACGTTTGGCGTCCGGACTGTGATCGATGTGATGCTGGCGCGGGTGGTGATTTTTGGTAGAAGCTGTGAAATTAACTTGGTTATGGCGAGTGGAGTTAAGGGAGATGAATCAATACACACCAGTTGTTGATTTTTCAGACAGCGATGTGACCACGGCAACAATTTGTGGCGTCTGCTGTTGCTGTTGCTGTGAAGCTGCAGCCGATTGCTGTTGCATGGATGCGGCAGTGCCAAGATTGGTACTGCTGTTGTTATTGTTGCTGTTAGTGTTGTTGGCTGCGGCGCTAAGCACGGCAGCAACATTAGCATTGCCATTGTTTTGCATTTGTATGACACGTGCTAGACTGATGCCGGCGGCTCCAGGTGTTCCATTGGCTGTGGTCAGCCGCACGATTGTACTGCGCGGAATGTTGTTGTGGTTGTTCGACGACTGATCAACGTTACTGCTGCTGTTGCTACTGCTGTTGTTATTACTGCTGATACTGCTTGCTGAACTGCTACTACTAGTATTGTTTAGTACCTGCGGCGATATGCTTAAGTGTTGCACTGCCAACTGTTGCTGCTGCTGTTGCAGCTGCAACGTTGTGGCTTGCGACAATGAGGAGTTCTTGGCACCGGGCGATTGGCTGCTGAAGTGCAGAATGGCGGACGCGGGTGTGGAATTTGCTGCTGCTGCTGCTGCTGCGGCTGAAGTCTGCTGTCGTTGCTGCTGCTGCTGCTTGAGGATCGCGGCCAACTCATTGGCGTCGATTTGCTGCGGGCGCTGCTGTGGCGGCTGTGCATAATTATGACTGCGTAGGTTCGACTCAGGAGATGAGGGCGGCGTTAGAGGGGGAAGCAGAAAGTCGTGCACGGGACCTTGACCCAGATGATAATGCCGCTGCGATTTAGCCTGCACCACTCGAACCTTAATAGCCGGCGCACTACTGTTACTAGAGCTCAGGGTAATAGTGTTGCAGTGAGAATTGCTGCTGCTTATGCTCACGGCGCTGCTGCTGACGGTGCAGTTGCTATTACTGGTGGGCGTCATGTTGCCGGCGCTGCAGATACTAGGATTGGGCGATATGGCTGAGGGTGGCGCAGCAAACAGCACGTCCAGTTTCTCATTGCAAGATAATACATGTGCCGCTTCCTCGTCGTCCTCGTCAATGCGCTCCTGCTTAACCAGCACCGCACAGCTGAGGGCCTGTGACCCATTGCTATCCCACGATATGCCTGAACAGTTGGAAGACACGGATGAGGTAGTCGATATCGTGTCCAGACTCTCTTTTATTTTAAGCTCCTCCAACAAGCGCGCCGGTGTTGAAAATATGTCCCAGGCTGAATCGAGATCTGTGTGTATCTTTTTGTAGCTCTGATGCTTCGGCTCGTCGCGCAAGTAGCGCTCCAGTTCATAGCAAGTCTGCAAATACAATGACAACACGAAGCATTGTTAGCAGGATACAAAATAAGATTTCTGAATATTCCATCTATAACTACATACAAATCCCCATAACTCGGTATGGGGTTCGGCTCTATTATTAATTTACCTTCCCTGTGTTGTTATGGTTATATTTTTGATGTACCGGTTCTACACTTAATATATATATATATATATTAAGTGTAGAACCGGTACATCAAAAATATAACCATAACAACACAGGGAAGGTAAATTAATATTATATATATATAAAATATATATATATATATATATATAAAATAACTACATACATATATACACCCTTTGTAAGGTATCAGGAATCCAATATATGTTATTTTAAACGAACTCTTTTTAGTTTACTGTAACTTGCTTCGTATAATACTATTAAAGAATTTTCAATGATGCTCAAGAATTTTCAAGAACATTAAATTGTTAATTCAGTGACCCGTGGCGGTGTTGTTTTTGAGCTTCTCTATAAGAGCCGCTGGCATCAAGGCAAATAAAACCATTAATTGTAAGTTATGTTTTATGTTCTGACGCAATTACATGTTAAAATTTTGCTCAGCAGATTTATAAACACTGCATACTTTTAGGTTCACGACCAGCAGGAATAAAGTTCACTTAAATGCCCCGAATAACGACGTGTTGCCTAATGGTGTTACTGCTGTGAGCACTAACAACGGGCGTAAATAAGAGAAGTTCGTTTGTGTCTGGGTTTGCAGCTGCTCTATAGTCGCAGTTGCCTTGTTGTTTTGCAATAAAGATTTTAATAGAGCTACAGTCATAACAATTGAGTTGGTTTGCGTTTTCGCATTTGTTTCAATAAGCCAACATGCCATACTCATGTCTCAAAAATGACAGTGGAAAATGGCTTTTTCTTATGCTTCTCCTGAAGCAATTTGCGGCTGAGAAGGTGCAGCAACAAGTACTTAAAGGTGCTACAAATTGCACACATGACCAGTATTATCGGTTGTTAGCGTTTCCCAAACCCGCAACCCATTTCTGCTTAACAAATCTTATTAAGTGCAATACAAAAGCGGAAAATCAATGACCTGGAATAAAAAGCGTAGCCACAGGATCTGTTTCGAGTTGTGCATTCCACATTTGCTTAGGTTTGCTATTTTGCTTTTCATTCCCATTTCCATTCCCATTCTTATTCTCCAAACATGGTCGGTAAATCACTTTAAGTGTTATTTCAAGAAAATAATTGCAACACATAAATTTCTTAACCCTTTCAAGTCGCCAAACAAGTTGCGTGTGCGATTTACGAACGGAGGCAGCAACAGCAATAACAACAAGAGAAAACAAGTAAGAAGACTCTAGTCGAGACTGCTCGACTAGGAGATACCCTGAACCCTCTAATCTGATATTCTAATCACTCTGCACTTCTTTTCGGCACACGTACATACATATCTACGTATTAGAACGCGCTCTGCTAACTGCGCAGTAAGCAGCGACTGCGCTTGGGCTGCGCTGCAGTGTGGGCAACATTATAAGGATTTATTTGTGGAATATTTTAATTTCTAGACGTACAATCTTAATGAAACTTTCAGAACATAATCATAATATTCAAATATATGTACATTCCAAAGCACAAGTTTCTAGTACTTGAAATACGCCTTTTACAAAGGTGAGGGTGAGGGGGTGGATATAGGGGTGGGGGGTAAATTACAACAAAAATCGAAATTATATAAAATGCATATAAGTCTACATATAAAATTTGGAAGCTCTAGCCCTAAAGGTGTAGGAGGTATAATTAAATAACTAGCTTTCGATAAGGTTTTTGATCGATAATAAATTATCGGGAGCAGTTATCGATATAAAAAGAAAAACTTGATATGCGCGTGATATACACGGACCTAGGAAAAAAAAATTCAAGTCTCTAGCTCTTATATCTTCTGAAATCGACGCGTTCATACATACGGACGGACGGACGGACGGACGGACGGACGGACGGACGGACGGACGGACGGACGGACGGACAGACAGACGGACAGGGCCAAATCGACTTAGCTCGTCGCCCTGATCAAGAATATATATACTTTGTGGGGTCTGCCACGCCTCCTTCTGTCTGTTACATACTTTTAACAAAACCATTATACCCTGATTTCCCATTTTCAATGGGTTCAGGGTATAACTATAAATGGTTTATGAATCAGCACTGCGGCGTTGGCGTCTCAGCGCGAAGAGGAAAGGAGAGAGAGAGAGAGAGAGAGAGAGAGAGAGACGGGGATAGAGTCCATGATTAATGTGCGGCTGCTGCACTTAGTTTCCATTTCCTGGCCAGCAACACTTCAGTCAGACAATGCAGCACTATCTATGTGCAAAAATCTAAATAAAATGTAACATGCATGCCCGCTGTTCGGAATTTGATATATTGTTTAAGCACTCTCGACAAAACACACACAAAGCACAACATGCAAGACATGCATCTAAAACAAATGCAAATGCCAGCTGAGCTAAGGCTGATCTGAGTCTGAGTCCGAATCGGAGGCTAAGCTTGCATTCGCCTTCGCCATCGCCAGCGCCATCCTCCAGGATGCTATCAGAAATGGCATTTTGAGTTATGTGCTTTGCCGCCAACGGCGTTGCCAACAAATCACCTGCCCAAAACTGAGAGCAGTGCCAGGAAGATTAGGACGCGACTTTTAAATTGCGCATGGTTGCGAGCCAACCAGTATCAGAATCAGCGGATCGCCAAATATCCGACTACATTTGAGTATATATGGGTAGCTGAAATGACCCACCTTGGGCCAATGATTGATGTGCTATGGGTGAATAGTTCGGGTGCTTGCCAATAGATAACTAAGGCCTGTCTACAGAGGCACTGCTACTGACTCAACATACTTTAAACATAATTAGTTTATATATACACTCCCTGAAGTTTATAGGAATTGTAGGAAACATTCATGTATACTCGGTGTAGAAAGCTGGTGTCAATGTATAATCCCGCTGATGTGTGGCTTCAAAAACTTTTCGACTAAGCAAAAAACTTTTTGCTCATTTGTATTTAATAGAAATTTATTTGCAGTGCTCATGGGTTGATATTTTTTTTATTTTGCCCTATCTATTTGTGTGGGTGGGAAATACTTTTGCACACTTTTTGCCGCCAATTTATGTGGCAAGTGCACAACAAGAGCGCAACTGAACGGGGGATATGTCAGAGCCAAATGGCTTAATCTATGGCACAAGTTGGTCGCATAAGAAAAAATCTTAATTTCCGTTGCGTCCATTTCAGCTTTGGTTTTTGTGTCACCATATTTTCTCTCTGTGTGCATTTTGTTTTTCGCTCTTAAAATGAGGTTTTCTCTTCCGCCTGTTTGGCTTTCAGCCCAAGATATTTACTGTTCCGTACCTTATGGTCGACAGCAAGTAAAATGTTCTTTTGTTTTACTTTTAGCAGAGACACCAAGTTTTTTCCTCACAAATACCAAATACCCAATACAAAACGGAGTCTTTACTAACCTAAATAAGGAAATAGAAATCGTTTTCGAAAAAAGTAAATAAATAAATATTGGTAAGAAAATGTGGCATTGAGACTGACATTAATCGAAAATCGATTTATTAATTTAGATCTGTAAGTCTGTAAGATCTGCAAGTGCTTTAACGAAACCGCTTTATATTGCATATACAAGAGCTGAACAATACCAGACATATAAACAGAAATAAACAGGCAACACATTGTTTGCACGAATTGAAAGCCCTCCAATTGCTCGATTCTTTAGCGCTTGAGATGAAATTAAATTGAATTTGGCCACAGCAAATACAGATTGCGAGGGAATCAGGAGGAGGCGAACATGTGCGCCCAAATGTTTTCAATGCTAATGTTAAATAAAAGCCTACGATTAAATTTAATTATCAGCATGTTTATTAAAATCTACAAAATGTGATATGAGCGAAGACTGAGTCTATTGCACAATTGGGAGAGATTTTAAGTATCTGCCGGCACACACACACACACTGTAGATAATGTTTACCTAGGCTGTCACACGCCCCCCGGGATTCTACGCCCACACATAGTGAGTCAGATATAGAGACAGACTGAACATATTTAATTATGTGTGTAATTGAAAAAGACGCAGCGGCAGTTAAGAGGCACGTCGAAGACTCCAACGACGACGACGACGCCGACGCTGATGGCAAGGGCGACGGCGATGGCAATGGCGACGGCGACGAGTACGCCAAAAAATCTTGTTAAGGCTATTATGCGGCACATGTCTTGGGCGCCCTGCTGTCTTTGCACTGAGCTCTGGGATTGTGTATTTGTGTAATATTCTGTGCGTGTTTGTGTATTAGAAAGATATTAGCAGGCCCCAGCTAGCAGCAGAGCCTGCGGTTTTTATTTGCTACCCCGAGAAGCAGCTGCTAACTTACTTGGAAAGTATGCTATCCACAATCACACCACATACCAAATTTTCATTATGTATGTATGTGTATCTGCATTATGTCATTTAATGAGCCATAATTCCAGAGAGCTTCGCCTCATAAGCCCCCTGGGATGTGTTCAGCATTTCTTCTTTTTCCTTTTTGTTTTCCTACGCCACTTTCGGGGCTGCCATTTTGAAAGTTTTAATGAACGAAACGTAATGAAATTATGCCCACAATTAACGTCATCGTGACCAGGCACTTTAAGCTTAACAATTTAAGAAGCTTTTAAGCATAACAATGCAGTGAACGAAGCACATCAACGCAGACAAGAAAACAAACATTTCCAACTGTCTGTCTCGTTCGGTTATAACATTGTTAAAAACGTATGGAGAAAGCAATTATTTATTTATTTATTATTATTTAAAATAAATGTTAAATTCGTCAAAGCTGTCAATTTGTGCAACAGGCTATTGGTCTCTCTATTCTTACTATAAGCAGGAAAGGTCTGCAACTGTCACAGTCACAGGCATTGATGTAGCAATACTGCAACCATTGTTGCCATCGACGTCTCACTGTGCGGCTTCTGCTTGTTATCTGTCTGGCTGTAAGTAACT